TCTGTTACCTCAAATCCACAGAATGTGTATGCATACTAGTATCAGAGTTTGTCAGTAAATTAAAAAAAAACATTTAAAAACTGGATTTTTATTTTTATTAAGAAAATACAAAGTCACATAAATAACATACGCACCACATCAAATTCACATTCAGTGTGGTTATTCCCTTCATAATATATATATAATTTCTTAAATTTATATATGTAGAAGAAATACATGTACAAAATTATAATTTTCATTATAATTGAAAACTCTCTCACTCTATATTTCTTTATCTCTCTCTCCCTCTCTCTCTGCAGCCATGGTTTCTGTTATACATGTATGATTTCAATGATTTTTAAATCATTGTGCTATTTCACGAATTTCAACATACCTTGTTCAATTTATGATTAATCTCTTTGAGAGCAATGATGAAAATTTGAAATGTTTTACACTATTAAAACAAAGCTAATCTATACTAAAATATATCTGCAAAACTTAATTTACTGCTATAAATTTCCACAAAAATTAGCATCCTTTGTTCTTCCTTCAAAACATACATCGTCTATATCTCTTAATACTGACTTAAATTGGATCAATACTTCAACAGAAACATCTTCACGGTAGACTGTCAACAAAATGTTCTCCATGCTATGTATGTATTCCTCTCTAAGGCCACACCAATTAAAATTCTTGTTCGCCGGACCCGCGGGCTCGTATTTTAACAAAACTATATAAATAATATTTATTTAAATTTCCCGCACCATGGGAATTCTGTGCTGTTTTCTATTCCATTTCCGCTCTATTTATCTTAATTTTAATCTGATTACTCTTCAAATCAAAAAAATATAATTGACCGCTCAAATTATTTCACGCTCCGCCTAAAAATCACGCATACAAAAAAATTAATAATATTATTATTTAACCGCTTGCCCGCTCGTAATTTTTTTCATCAAATGTCCGACGAACAAGAAATAAAATTGTTGTGGCTTAAGGTTATCCGATCCTCAGGTTCTGAAAATCAGGCATTGAGTAATTGAAATTGCTCACAAAGATGTCTCTAAATTCTCAAATTAAAATGTATTTACCCACGGTGTTTCTTCAAACTTCATCTTTAAATTTAATCATATTATATAGGGAAAATTAGTAAATCTCAAATAATTTTTCAGGAAATGCAATTTGAACTACCTACTGCATATTTTTTAATTGATGGTTGATCAAGAAATACATTTTAGGAATAAAAATCATAGGTATCCAGGCTTTTAAAGAAAATTGCATGAATTTTACACTTATTTGGTACTTTACTTTCTCCTACTTACTTCCATCGTTTCATAATGCATAGTGTATGAAGTGTTTCCTTTCAAAGAAAACACCGTACATCACTTCTTATTTCAAATCATGCTTATAAACACTGGTAACTAAGGCTAAATTAAAAGAAATTTGATTTTTTTAAAGTATGCTAGTTATGTTCCCCAAACGAAGTTGGGGAACATATTGTTTTTACTCTGTTTCTTATTATGTTCCCCAAACGAAGTTGGGGAACATATTGTTTTTACTCTGTTTCTTATTATTATTATTCTTATTATTATTATTATTATTTTTCTTCCTGGGAAAATCTTTTCCGCGAGTGATCTTGTAAACTACACATCAGACTTAGGTGAAACCTTTTTAGGGTAAGTAGGCATGTTATGTAGATTTGCGGAATCAAGGTCATTTTGCGCGCACGTGCTTGCAAGAGCGCGCACGTGCAAAACTTAAAATGACCAATATATAATGGATATAACGGTAACTTTTTTATTTTGTGACGAAATGTTTTGAAACTTATAATGTAAGGATATATTAGTAGTATGCACAAGATGACATGGTCAAAATAGCAAGATCGCACGCGCATGCACGTGCACTTCGCTTTGATTGGCTGAAACTAAAGTCTCAATATCTTTTTTGTTTTTTGATAAAATCATTTGAAATTTTGAACATAGTCATACATTAGGCAGATCTACAACCTGTAATATAAGATTTTTCATGAAAGCATTTGCATGCACATGTGCTTGCATGAGCTCGCACGTGCAACACGAGAAATGTCCAATATAATTGATACAGACGTAACTATTTAAATTAATGATGAAATGATTTGAAATTCATATTATAAGTATATATTAGAAGGATAGACAAAATGACATGGTCAAAAAACTAAGATCTCACGCGCATGCACGTGCGCTTCGCTCTGATTGGCTGAAACTAAAGTCTCAATATCTTTCTTGTTTCTTGTCATAATCCTTTGAAATTTTGAACATAGACCTACATTATGAAGATATACAGCGTGATATATAAGAATTTTCATGAAAGCATGCGCATGCCCGCGTGCTGCAATCTGATTGGCTGAAACTTTAAATGGCTATATCTCCTTTGTTTTTTGACGAAATGCTTTGAAATTTAAAACATAGTCATGCATTAGGATATACTACAGTATGATATATAACAATTTTCACGAAAACACACGCATGCACGTGCGCTGCAATCTGATTGGCTTAAACTTGAAATGGCTATAACTCCCTTGTTTTTCAACCAAACAGGATGGGATTTAGAATATAGATAGATATAAGGGACTCCTACAAGAAGGTATGGTCATCATGCACGTGCACGCACGTGCGTGCATTTGGAACGAGTGAAATGAAAAATACGTTTGAAAGAGTGATTTTCATACTTTTGGACTGAATGTTTTAATATATAGTATATTAAGATATGTAGATAGTGTAGACAAGATGATATGATCATAACGCACATGCATTCACATGTGCACGGGTGCAATGCTAAAATTTGGATATAATTGGTATCCTCCTGAGAAAACGTTGTTAAAGTCAAAAATGCACAGAGTTTGTCTTAATTAATGAAGCTTACAGGGAATATGGTACCAAAAAGGAGTTGGGGAGCGTTTGGGGAACATCTGTAACGGTTCCCGTTACAATTAGCACTAGTTATTATTATTATTATTTTTCTTCTTCCTGGGAAAATCTTTTCTGCGAATGATCTTGTAAACTACACGTCCGACTTAAGTGAAACCTTTTTAGGGTCAGTAGGCATGTTATGTACATTTGCGGAACGAAGGTCATTTTGCGCGCACGTGCAACGCGTGAAATGACCAAAATAATAGATACAGCCGTAACTTTTCTATTTTTTGATTATATGCTTTGATACTCATAATATAAGTATGTATTAGTAGTATAGACGTGTTGACATGGTCAAAATAGCAAGATCTCACGCGCATGCACGTGCGCTTCGCTCTGATTGGCTGAAACTAAAGTCTCAATATCTTTCTTGTTTTTCGTCATAATCCTTTGAAATTTTGAACTTGGTCACACAATATGAAGATCTACAGCATGATATATAATATTTTTCATGAAAGCGCGTACATGCGCATGTGCTGGAAAGAGCGCGCACGTGCAACATGTGAAATTACCAAGATAATGGATGAAGCCGTAACTTTTCTATTTCTTGATGGAATTTTTTGAAACTCACAATGCATGAATATAGTAGTAGTATGAACAAGATGACATGGTCAAAATTGCAAGATCTTACGCGCATGCACGTGCGCTTTGCTCTGATTGGCTGAAACTAAAGTCGCAATATCTTTCTTGTTTTACGTCATAATCCTTTGAAATTTTGAACTTAGTCACATATTATGAAGATCTACCGCATGATATATAATAATTATCATGAAAGCACATAAATCCACGTGTGCTGCAATCTGATTGGCTGAAACTTTACATGCCTATATCTTTCTTGTTTCTCAACAAAACAGGATGAAGTTTAGAATATGAATAGGTATTATGGATTCCTATATGATATTGCTATCAAAATTTAATGCAAGGACGTGCTTGCATGTACATGCACACACGCAATGCGTAAAATGAACAATATGTTTGAAAAAAAGTAAAATTTATATTTTTATGACTTTTTATTGATTTCTGAAATATAAAGATATGTTAATGGTTTAGACAACATGTCATGATCACCTTGCATGTGCATGCACGTGCGTTTGCGAACAATGCGTTAAATGACAAAAAGTTGATATCATTGTAGCTTTTAATTTTTTTTTTTTATGAAATCCTGCGATACTAAGCATATTGAAAAAAGTTTTAAAGGAAATTTGCACAAAAAGGGAGTTGGGGAGCGTTTGGGGAACATCTGTAACGGTCCCCGTTACAATTAGAACTAGTTTTACTTAATTTCATGAGGTACAAATGTCAACTTTTTTAAAACCGTTTGTTAAAACTTAAAAGAACATTGAATCATGCGTAGAGGCATAAAATGAAAATTGTTGCATGAAAAAATTTCAATTTCAAGCTTTATTTTAAGACTTTTTGAATTAAATTATAGATTAAAGAGTTATCCTCCCTGGCTGAGGATCATATATCCTTAAAAAAGAGAAATAACCAGTAAACAGCAAAGCTGAATGTAATAAAATTAAATTAGAATTATACACCTGAGGGAAATTAATTAAAGCCACATTATAAGACAGACAACATTATTTACACCTGGCTTGTTTGAGGTCTGTGTTTATAAAAGCACCTCTGTACTTGGCTGTTTGAAGAATTGTGCAAAAATTATTTAACAAGGGTTGATCTTTCAAAATTTACAATTATTATCATGCACTTTAACCCTAAATGAAATGGAAAAAAAGGAGCGTGTTTCAAACTTGATTTTTAACATGCAAAAAATAGGAAATTATATATAAAAATAATAATAATAATAATACAATGCTGTCCTGTGCTTTATTTTAAGAGGGTCTCTGGTGTGTCAGATTTTACGTGTAAATTATGAGCAAGTGTCACACAGCCGAGCTGTCTGATTTACAACACAAAAACACGCCAGGCTTACAGTGCACAACAAAAGATACTGCGTAAAATCCAATTCAGTTACTTTTTTTAATTCAACAATTCTAATCAAATTTCAAAGTTATGGAGTTTATATCTGAATCTAAAAATGAAAAAAAAAAAAATGTGTACCTTTAGCACTGGAATAATATTATCAGTAATTATCTTTGGTATTAATCAAAAATTAATTTGTTCTATTGATTTTTCAACAATTTTATGATAATGTTTGATAAAAATGTTATAGAACTAACATTTAATCAAAACAAAGACTGCATCAGTCCAATTATGGCTAATATGGTGTATATATTTTCAATTTTTATTTCTCATTTTCTGCAAGATTTGATGAAACTGCATTTTTATTGTATTAAAAAATGAAGCACAATATTTTCATGACTTGAGGTTGAGGTAACTTACCTGAATGTACACATAAATTATGACACATTTTTTATTCTATAGGATTTTTAGGACTTTGGTACTTTGACCTGCACCTTGTGCCAAGCATTACTCAGCACTCCTCTCAAATTCCAAATGCCCTCCACATTATCAGGCTGCACATTGTATGAGGAATCCACTGCCTTGCAGATGATTTCCACCTCTCCCTTGTGGTCCTTGGGGAGAGGAATAGTGCCCTCCCAGAAAGTCCAAGCGTACGTCTTATACAGGGGCTGGTCCGTGGGGGATAATTCTGCAGAGTGCCAGGTTTTCCCGCCGTCAGCGGACAAGTCCACCCTCACGATTCCTCGTCCCCCACCACTCCAGGCGTAACCTTTTACCGTGACCTCAGAGTCGTCGTCCAGGACGGTGCCGGGCTCAGGTTCACAGATGGCAGACTGGACAGGCAGTTCATGGATAGCAGGTACAGTACTACAACAGAGAAGAAACATTACCTTGGTGTTTATACCATAACTGTTCATCCAGATTACATGGGTACTGGCTTATACACGAAGTCTGTGATGGATGGAGAGCCATCCATGGGATTCAATGACTCTCATCCACTTGACACCACAGAAATCATGCATAAGCAGAGCCCTATGAACCTAATGGCTCAATGAAAGACTTAAACTTTATTCTAAATACAGATCATATTTACTTTTAAGAATTCTGTTAAGAAATATTAAAACAGTTTACCTAAAATCCACATTATGCCAGTCAATTGAGGCATGGAAACCTTTGTAATCTCTTTGCTGCCAGTGGCACGTGCTCTCTTCATCACTCAGTGTAATTTTGTTCAGCCATTTCACCTAATTTTCAAACACACAAAAGATTCATTACAAAAAGAAATAAAGTCTAGAATACCAAGTGTGACACAAAGAAATCCTGTAATGAATCAGATTTACCTGCCTGGCACCAACAACCCCTGGAATAATAATTCGGACAGGATAGCCATGATCTCTTGGAATGTCCTTGCCGTTCATCTCATAGGCCACAATGATATCTTTCTTCAACCTCCTGGCCATATCGATAGGAATAGAAGCACCATAGTTAGCTCCTGTAGGATCTGCATCGGCCCCATCAAATATGATATGTTTAGCATTTACTGTATCAATGTCTATGCCTGCTTTCTTCAAGACATCGTCCAGACAAGCTCCTGTCCAATCTGCATTGCTTATGGCTGCAGATCCCCAGTTTAGACCTTTGACAGGTTTAATTTTCACCATCTCACTTCTGCGATTGCCTGCACACTGAACTACAGACACTACTGATTTCTTGTCAAATTTTCTTTTCAAGTCATTCAGACTCAAATTTATCGATTTTTTGGATCCAGCTATTGAAATTGTTAACTGGTACTTCTTTGGATCGATATCCGGTACTGGTAGATGATTTCTTACAAAGAACAAATCATTTGGTGTGAGAAAACTGTATCTGAGAAGAGAAAGTGGGGGTTCAGCGTTGAAAGGTTTCTTGGAGCTGGGCTTCAATGCCATGTGCCTTTGTGGATCATTAGCGTACGGGTCCTTCTTATCCACTTTTTCCTCCTTTGGTTTTTCTGTAATGTTGCCAATTCTCAATTCCTCCAGCATCTCATATATCTCGTCCTGTTTGTGGGCTGCATACATCTCCCAGTAGGGTTCAATGGAGGAGCCAGCAGCCAGTAAAATTCTTGATCCCCCTGGATGGTTTGACACATAATCTGTGATGTCATACACACCATTTTTATATGTGACCTGTAAATGTAAAAAAAAAATCATCAACTTTTTAACCTTTTTATGAACAAGACTTTTTGTTACTGGGATGTAGAAATTGATCTTTTAAATCCATAATATTTTCATGTAAAAGAATTCAAAGAACTTTAAAAATCTTACCCAGATTCTATTTTCTTTTTTGTTGTGTTTGGCTACCTCATCTAGAGAGTAGGTAGGAAGTCCCTGCTTTAATCCCCCAGCTGTCTGACTGGTTGCAGCCTCTACTGCATATCTTCTTTTTGACATCAGCCATATCACACTTCCTGTAAAATAAGTTTTCCCTTTTTAGTTTTTTCATTAACTTGCAGCAGATACAGTTCATTAAAATTTGCAGATAAAATAATAAGTAAAAAGTTTTGTACATGTCTCATGTGGTGATGAGACCCAATGTTTCAAGATTCTATTAATCTATTAATCTGGTATATTTCTAGCTGCAAAACAGTAGCTCTCTGCTTGAGAAAATTCATGTAAAAAGCTTTTTTGTTGCTCACTTTGGGTATTATTTCTTGTATTTGTAGACACCCCCTTCAAGTTAATATCCTATAATTTAGCATGTTTTTTTTATACTTAAGTCTTTATAAAATATTTACATTTCAATGGTGTGCCAATATTATTTTCAACTTCTCAATAAAAAATTATATGAAAGAAAATTATTCTTGGTAAGAGTTACCTCCTTATCTGGGGGGTCAATGAACCTTAATGTAAACAGGTCCAGTCCAAAGACTATTTCTACCTACGTAGCTGTTAATAGCTACGTAGGTATTTAAACCTATCCAAAGTAGCTATTTTTACCTACTTTTTGTATTATCTGCTTTTTGTGGCCAAACGCAGGAACGGCGCAACACGGTTAGCTCCAAATTTCTTGATACCTTCACACTGGTGATAGATATGACAAAAATTTGGCCAAAAAATGATTACTTCGTATAATATGAATTTTGCATAGAAACTAGTGTAGAATTGCCGATTCAGGAAGTAATCATTTTTTTTACCAAAATTTTGTTGTATTCATCATTAGTGTGACTGTATCAAAATATATGGTATTCAACACATTGCGGCTTTTGGTCTTTTGGCCACAAAATGTAGATAATACCAAAAGTAGGTAAAAATAGCTACTTTGGGTAGGTTTAAATACCTACGTAGCTATTAATAGCTACGTAGGTAGAAATAGTCTTTGGACTGGACCTGGTAAACCCTTATTTGATATCAAGGCTAGATTAGGAGCATTTTATGCAAAAATTGTTAAACACTGAAATTACGTTTTCTGATAAGCAATAAGTTAACATACCTGTGACCCCTAATGCTACGCAAACTTTAAGATTTGTGAACATTCGACTGCTGTCATGGCTCTTGTCTTGATCATTGGAGCTGCTACTTTGCGATGGTTTTGTTGATAATGTGCGACTCCATGCCCCTGTCTCACGTAAAATCTGAGTTCGCCCCTGCAGTCTGTTGGCATTTATTCCTAATTCATTCCATGACAATCCATACCTGAAAAACCTCGCAGCCTTTTGCATTGCCCTTCTACGTAGTATTCCACCCTCGTAAACACACCGTGATCTAATTTCTATACAGTGTGCGATCCTTAAATCTCGAGCAATGGGGAACCGGAGTCGGTTATCTTATCTTGTATCGGTAGGGGGCGCCACAGGAAAATGCGGTCCATTACAAAAGTGATAAAACCTGTGAAGATGGATAATCAGCATCCATTCTCGAATACGATATCGGAAAGCACACACGTTTCAGTTACAATCCTTAATTTACTATGGCATCTAATTGTGGTGATATGACTATACCTGAACTTAAGAACGAGTTAGAAAAGTTTGGAGCAAAGAAATCAGGAAGGAAGTGGGAACTTGTGGAGAGGTAAATAAACATACGATGTTTTCATGCAAATCCAAGTAAACATTATTAATAACACAGTAAATAATTATCAATGGTGTGTAAAAGATTAACATTAAGTCAAATTGACAGTAAATATCAGAATTACCTCGTTTAAGAAACTAATTCTTAAATAATCTGCAACTTTAGCGTGTTAGATTTTTAACTTGAATTTCCTCGGTAATTCTAACATCGATCTCATATTGCTTGGTGCTTGCAGTAAAATAAGAATACTTCTCTACATTTTTATTATGAAGCAGTATTATTATTTCCTGATTGTTGCAGCTATGTTTCACTCAAAATATACATGAAAAAGAATTAAATATGCTTATTTTATTGCAGACTTGAAGCCTACAGAAGAAATGCACATTGTGCTAAGACCGATGTTTATGGACCTGAATTTATGATGATGACGCCAGATCCACAACTCTACAAGGACCTTCATGGTGACAAGACCTTTCCAGGTTGCACAGAGGCAGAAATTTCCACTTTCTTGTCGAAGTTTAATAAGACAACTGATAAGAAAGGAAGGGATATGTACAACGATGGGTTTATCCAGTATGTGAGGGTGACATTTCATGATTCAAATTGGTTCGTTAGAAGTAGTGTAAAAGCTTCAATGATGAAGTCTGTGAAATATGTTGTTGACATTATGATAGGAAAAGACAGAAGTGTTATAGAGTCTCAATGTGAATGTGCGGCAGGCATGGGACCCGATGCACATTGCAAGCATGTCTGTGCTGTACTTTTTTCATGTGCAGATTTTGTTAAGCATGGGACATACAAAACAGAACTCACCTGCACACAGAGGTTACAAACTTTTCATCGTGCTAAGCCCCATAAAGGAAGCCCTATGAAAGCAAGACAGTTGGACATGCCAGGCTGTGACGAAGTATGCAATAATGACTATGACCCTCGTCCAGTTGAATTTAGAGGCAATCCGGGATACCAGTCTTACTTTAGAAATGTGTGCTTGAATTACCCAGGTATTAGTAAGACTCCAATTTTTCAGCTGTATGAGCCTGTAAACATGAAAGCTTACAACCTGGACCATGACTATCTAAAAGACACGTTTAGTGAAAATCATTTGAAACTTTTAAATGTATCAGAAATTTCAGAGGAGAATGCACGTCAAGTTATGATAAAAACAGCTACACAAGCGGCCAACGACCTTTGGTTTGAGGAACGTTGCAAACGTCTTCATTCTTCGGTATTCGGGAGAATATGTAAAGCAACTGATCGAACTGATAAGGTGAAACTTGCTGACTTTTTAACAACAAAGGCACAAAAAATTAATGCTAAACCTATTCTTCATGGAAGAAAATACGAAAAAGAAGCTGTGAAGAAGTACCAGGAAATTTCGGGACGCACAGTTTACAATAGTGGAATTTGTGTCAGTCTGGACTCCCCTCATTTAGCAGCAACCCCAGATGGTATTATTGACGATGACACCTTGATTGAAGTTAAGTGTCCATATGTGGCAAGAAACAGTTTTATTTCCTCAAAAACAGTTCCTTATATCAAGCAGTCTGGAAGTAAATTTTATTTGAATAAAACCCATGACTATTACTATCAGGTCCAAGGACAACTTTACTGTGCAGAGAAAAATGAGTGTATATTTGTTGTGTATACTTTCAATGACTTTTTGTTCTTTGCAATAGAAAGGGATGATAAATTTATTGATGAGATGAAGAAAAAATTGAATGAATTCTATGAAGATTTTTTTAAGTCTGCTCTATTGGAAAAAACTTTTTTCAAGACATATGATGGAAAATGTAGTTGCAATAAAGAAAAATGAAATAAAGACTTTTTCTCTTATTATGTCATTTTTAATACCAAGTTATGCATAAGATGGCACTATGCAATTCTTAAAATTACACAACATGAAACAAACATAGATTATTTCTGAAGAAAGTTTTGTTTCAGAACTATTCATAGGCTCAGTCAGAATTTTGAATGTTTTTGCAAGTCCAATGATCCTCTCAATGTGCACACGTTTGCTGGATATTTTTCGGTCCTCAATCACAGTAGCACATGACATTCTGTTTTTCTTTTTGAAAAATGTTGGTGTATTTATTTGAATGTTCCTGTGTACAAACATATCCTGCACATTGAAACCTTTGTCCGCCATTATTGAATCTCCAGAATTGCACATTTCTAACAGCCTACTTCTTTCAACTATTTGACGGTCACTTGTGGATCCCCCATAAGCTGTAGAAATATAAGATGTTAATCCACCTGGTGTCGCTCCTACAAGAACTTTTACCGTGTTACGGTTTTTATAGGTAGAATACGTTGCTTGCTGTGGCTTTGGTAACTTTGGTCTTTTAATTGGACACTCTGTGCCATCTATTATCACTCTAGTATTTGGAAATTTTGTTTTAAAATCTGATGGACAGTAATATTTTACAAGATACTTTGTAGGCCAAATGTCGATTTCCTGCCATTGCTTACTCATGAATAAAATCCATGTAAAAAATATATTTGATACAGTCTTTTCGGAAACTCCAAATAATCTTGAAAGTTCAAAATTGGTCGTATGGCGCCGTAACTTGCAGAGGACTAAGAAAAATTGGTCAGGAACACTTATGTTTGAAACCTTATGATAAATATAATTCAAACAGTGAGCTGCGGGTCCTAAGGTTCTTAAAACAAAATAAAATTTAGTTAGAGTTTCCAATCCAGTATAGAAATTTACTCCGGCATCATCATTTGTAAAGTTTTCAATACTCATTGGGGGATACCGAGGAGTTTGTGTCTGTACATCAAAAAATTTAACGTCAGATTTCTGAACAGTGACTTGAATTTCTTCAGCCAAAATTTGGGTAGAGTTAGATACAATTTCCTCGGATACTTGCAGATCATCAGCTGATGTATAGATGAATTCATCTATGGAAGACGAAGCAGAAAATTCTTCTGCTAGTTTTCGTTTGATGCCTCTGGACTTGGCTCTGTCGGCTCGTTCATGTGAATGTGGACTTGGCTCTACCCAGGGAAAAATGCTTGGCACTGCAGTTTTCTTCAATCTTTTACTTAAAGGAGTAGTTCCTAAGAATTAAATTATTTAATATATCAATACTTGTTCATAGTACTAGATTATTTATTAAATAATTAATTTATAATTTGAACTAACTTTTTAAAGCAAATAAAACAAATATAAATTTACTAAAATATTTTTATTATTACAAGTATTATTGTTATAAAATTGATGTTACAAAACATGCCCATGTGTTTATTAATTCAACTAAACAGGTCAAATTTGTTTTTAAGCAGGGTGCTAATTAGACATCAATGTCAAAACACAGTATCTTGTACTGGTAGATATGCATAAATTATCAGGCAACAGCATGTGTTCTTTTAGACATGCCTTGTGTTTATATTGTTAAAAGATAATGCGTTTGTAATAAATGACCAGTAATTGAAGTTGTCAGTGGGGAGTCTGCATGTGGCAGTGTCTGTAAAAATACAAAAAAATTCATGTAAAACGTTATCAGATTACTTCGTATGAGAGGTAAACAAGGGATTCGATATTTTAGTGCATTTCATCTAAGCAAATAAGGCATAATCATTGCTCAGAATAAAATCTATTAACATTACTTTGCACATGCTTATCAAAGATTTCAAAATAAATAAATAAATATTGTTACCATGCTGGGTTTCAGTCAAATAGTCGTCTGATTTAAAATGTGCTCTGCAAACAACAGCATGAGTTGACGGAGTCCAGCTTTGAAAACGAGTTTCACCACGTTTTATTGCGTGTATCCATGCTTTTCTTCTTAACGGATCTGTTGGAAATATATGGCCACCCCGATTACTACAATTCGGCACACAACAACAAGTTTCAGGCATGTTTTACGAGCATGTGTTTGACAGCAGATTGTTTACGTTTTTCTTCGATCGGTAACTACTGATAAGGCGCGAGGGTGTTCCGATACAGGACCGTGTTTGCCTGTGGCGCCCTCTAAAGAAAAGATAATCGGAGCAGGTTCTAGCACTGGTTCTCTGCCCTTGATTCCAGTCGCTGCCGCTAGGAATTACAAGGACAGGTAACCTCCGCCGCCATGACAGTGGAAAAACTCACTGCTTGCTTCGCGCATAGTACTGCGCATTCCAAAAATAAATAGTATCAATGCTTGCAGAGAAGAATGTTAGGTGGATCCAGCGATTTAAATAACAGAGAAAACAAAACATAGCATATCTTTCTTGATGAATAGAGTGAATTGAATACGGTGAAATTATTCAAACAACATAGTAAAGACTTTTATATATCATTAACTTACAATATATTGTCACAATGAACTTTCAAATGTTCCGTAGTGTTAAACGTTGTAATCCTCCCTGGTGCATACCATAACACTTGGAGTTAGAGGGACGAGTTATATAGCATTCCCCGTAAACTTTAGAACATAAATAATTATAAAGAACAAGTGTTATAACTAAATCGATGATTTAATTATCATATCAGTGGTAAATATGTAGGTAAATTAATCATGCAATAGATCTTGATTTGAATTATTTTGGTAGGATATGCACATGGGACCTGTGATATCGCTTTGCATTTAATGGTTTTTGAGGCAGCACTTCTTTATGGTTTTATAGATGCTTAAAATCCGTCTACTTTCTTTGTTAACAGCAGTGTAGAGTGCAGAGAGAAGGGTTTATTTACTTCAGCACTTCTGGATTTACGCTAGTCTAAATATAGATTTTTTCATCAGTGCTGTTTCCTGTGACGCGATAAAATGGCAGTGGTTACCTGTCGTTGGTTTTTTAGGGCGCTTGCGCCCGTTAACCAATGTCAGGGTACCAGTCTAAGCAGGTTCCTAATTCCGCCTTTGGTGAAGCCGAGGAGTTCCGAGTAACTTTGTTTACTTGGGTCTCGAGCCCAACTCAAAATAGTTTAAATATTTCCCAATATGGACATCACGTTCACATTTTCATGATTTTGTGTCAAGATAATAGGTGTTTTAATGGCAGTTCATAAACACTTATTTATTGGCTTGATAAAAAAATCATTAACTAGAATAATGTTACTTTATGCAGCTTCTTCAACCAATAGAGCTCGTTGAAATTAAGGTGGAATGCCACACCAACTTTATTTTATTGATCTTTGAGTCATCCTTTTTAAAGGCCGATATAAGCTCTTAAATATTATATATATATTTTTTTAATTATTATTATTATTATTATTTTTTTTTTTTTTTGTATTTTTTCAAAGAAAAGGAAAAAAAAAATATTTATATCCAAATAAAATGTTTGCGAGTTAAAAGTTTGCTGTAAATGAATGCATCATATCAATATCTAATAAAATATGTAAAGAAAGGTTTGTTAGACGTTTTAATTTTTTTTTTTTATAAAAAATTACTTATGAAAATAAAACACGTTATTTGTAAATATTTTTTAAACCTATGGTTAAAAACACCATAAAACTAGTCACAACTGAGGACAACATGTTTGTCAATCATATTTTTAAAAGAAATTTATTGAAATGAAATTGAGAAATTTTAGAGAAATTTTTTTTTTTAAATATTTGGATCTTACCCGATTAAGATCAAAATTAACACAAAATGAAAAAAATTATTGCCTCTTCATGTATTTACAATGAAGAAATCTATTTTATTGTCAAGTTCAATAATGTTTTAACCCTTATTACACCCAGACTAGTCTTCTTACTGAAATGTTATTTATTTTCAATAATTGTACAATTATGGTTGGGATCGGTTTAATTTTGATCGGAACTGGCCAAAATTAAAAAAAAAAATTAATTTCTCTAAAATTTGGCTATTTCGTTTCAATTTCTTTTATAAATATGATTAATGAACATGTTCTTCCCAGTTGTGACTGGTTTTAAGAAGATTTTAACCACAAGTTTAAAAAATATTCACAAATTATGTGTTTTATTTTCATAAATATTTTTTATTTATACGGCTTTTCTTTACATATTTTATTAGGTATTTATGTGATGCAATTATTTACAGCAAAATTTTTACAAGAAAACATCTAATTTAGATGTAAATAATTTTTTTTTAATTTTCTTTGAAAAAATAAAAAAAAAAATCATATAAAATAATTAAGAGCTAACGTCGGCCTTTCAATGCTGGAACCATTGTTTAAAAAGGTTGACTCAGAGATCTATGAAATAAAAAGTTGGTGTGGCATTCCTCCTTAAAAATGTTTTTAATGAATCACTCAAAAATTGTATTCAAACAAAATATTTTCCAAAATCTTACACGCTTACTAAAACTTAAAACCTTTTAGACGTACATATTAAAGGAAAGCAAAAAATTATCATTTATGAGCAACGGAACTAAAGTCATATCATATACATCTTGACAAACTAGAATAAAATTATAAACATTTTTTGTTAATTCAATTTACCAATATACCGGTACATGTACGGACATGATTAATTTAGAAAGCAATTTTAGACTTTGTCTTACCTTTGATTCTCCGGCCGCTGCGTTTGTAGAATATGTGGCGCTATGATACATGCATGTTTAAGTACAATTGTCACGTTCGATTATCCCTTTCAGAAATAAGTACGTATTTATTCTTCGTAAGAATTCAATCCCATTTCCTTCAATTTAAAGATGCGCTCCGTCATTCACTCAAACAAAAGGGAAAATGAGGTGCTAAGAATGAATGGCCATATATAAAAGTTTACATGGAAAAGCAGGGTTACAATTTATATAGGGGAACCTGCCTTTATAAAATTGCCATCACATGACAGAATAACTGCATATAATTTGTTGGAAATTAACACAAATGCTTGCAATATATGAAATGACATTACGTAATACAATGTATGTCTCTGTAACCTTCGAAGTAGTGATGAACAACTTTGACGAATATAGATGAAGGTGTGTATGTATGTTTGGGTGTGTGTGGGGGGGGTGCATCTTTCAACTCGACATGATACTGCTGGCATCTGACGAATGGATACAATCTCTCATGGAATGGATGGATTGGTATGTAAATTTACATGCATGTACCTCTAGTATTTCTATATACGCATTGAGTAGACAATCTCTAAAACCTGACATGATACCAGCTTATAATAAAAACGGAAAATGATATCAGAAATGGAAATAAAGATATGAATGACCAGGAATTCGTTTATTTTGCAGTCTGGTTTTAATCAGACTGTTTATTTTGGATAACAACAATTCTCAGAAAAGGAGGGGACATCCATTCGTTATGTGCCTGTGCATGATGCGCCACTTTGTAATTTCACTGTAGCCATTACTTTAAATAATAAAATATTATAATTCTATATCTTTATTTCTGTGTATTGTAACAATTTAGTGGAGCAAACTTGGTATACGCTAAAAAAGAAAGGAGATTTTAAAACTAAACAGACAGAACTCATAATTTTATTATGGCACCAATTCGTAAACGTCAATGACGTTTGATATATAGAAACGCCGCCAGAGACGAAGAAGTACTGGAGTAACTGTTTAAATGTACGGAGTATATAAAAGAATCTACAAGAAGTGTGAGACCAATGTAAAGTTTGATTTTACAAAAACTTAATGACATTCTTTAAGTTGAACTGAATTGAGCGGCTTGTATAATTCTCGGAAATGCTGGTTACATGATTTATTGTATTGATTTAAAAAAAAGAAGTTTAATTAAATAATCCTGATTGATATTGAAATAATAGTTTATACATTTGGAACTTTTATTTGAAAAGAAAAATAAACATTCCTTTATAAACCTAATATAGATGCATCGTTATTCAATTTCCACAATATTGTTTCATTTATTCAAATACCACTTCCTTTTTTATCAGACATTTATCATGCACTTTCCATGATCTTTAAAATTAAGATACTTAATCAACTAACTTTTATCCTTCCTTCATTCATTGAATTCTTACACATCGATCATTATGTAAGGTTGATCTTGAAGGTGAGGAACATGTACATGTAATCGCATGACTCCCTGATAAAAGGCAGATGTTCTTACCCTAACCCCCAAGTACCGAGTGGGACAACGATGGCAATATAATCGTACAACAAAAGTTTTTTCCGGACTTTTAAAATTTTTAAAGAATATTTCAGCTGAAAAATACAGAAAAAGTGTTACGTATACTTTGAGTATATTTATCTACTTTTTGTCAGCTGAATTGCCAACCAAAATGTTCCTACAATCTCCTTTATTCCTTTTTTTCATTGTGACTAGCAATGTGATCTGTGGATTTAAAATTAACAAACAAGAGTACCACAAAAGGAGTGGTTTTCTAGGTAACCAGTTTAGTGGCTCTGACAGAAATGGGGGCGACAGTTCTTCAGCAGGTACTGGTTTTCCGGCCAGTAATGAAAGACCGGTCAGTTTCAGTGGAAACCTCTTAAATGCAAACGGTGGAAGAGATTTCAGTGGCAGCAGCGGTAGCCCGTTTAACTCAAATGGAAATGCAGGTATTTTTCCTGGTAGCACTTCTGGGAGTGGTGGTAATCAAGGAGGGGATGGTCCGTTCAGTGGAAATGGTGGTTCGGGAGGTTTTGGGGGCGGATCTAGTCCGTTTAATTCAAATGGGAATGGAGAAGGAGGATTTCCAGGTAGCAACTCAGGAAACGGTGCCATTCAAGGAGGTGGTGGTCCATTTAATGCAAATGGTAATGGTGGTGGTTCGGGAGGATTTGGGAGCGGGTCTAGTCCGTTTTCCAATGGAAATGGAGGAGGAGGAGGATTTTCCGGAAGCAACTCGGGGAATGGTGCCATGCAAGGAGGGGGTGGTCCATTTAATGCAAATGGTGGATCCGGCGGTAGTGGGAGCGGATCCAGTCCATTTTCCATTGTAAACGGTAACAGCAATAGTGGTGGATCTATGAGTTCTGGAGGAAGTCCATTCAGTAATGCTGCCAAAGGTGGGGGAAAAGGAATGGGACCTGGACCTTTTAGTACAGCTGGAAATGCAGGTGGATCTAGTCCTTTCAAAGCCAATGGAGGCAAAATGGCAAGTCCTTTTAGCACAGCCGCCAAAGCAGGTTCCGGTGAAACTCCATTCAAAATTTCCAACTCGGCACTAGGTACTTAGTAATGATTTTAAATTCATTATATTCAACAGAAATATTGCAATTCAAAAATACATGTATTGTAGTTGTAAGAATTAAATTTATTTGGAACTTACAGGTGGAAAGTCTCCTTTTGGTACATCAACATTTCAAGGTGTTGATTTTGGAAGTATGGGCGGAGCACTGGCAACAAATAATGGTACTGCTACTGTTTAACCTTTAAGAAATGTCAAACAATATCATCATTCGTCTCAAAAACTTGCTTAATAATTTAAACGTGACAGAAAATTCTGATCAAATGGTGCAAAGCTTTCTTGAAAATATACAAAGATTCGAAGCATTGCTTTCAGTTTTATTTCTCCATAGAATTTAAGGTAAATCGATCTTAAATGTTTATCTAAACAGTATCATAAATACCCAGATTCATTATCTTCCATTCCATCCTTTTCCAGCCGTAGGAAACCCAATGGATGCCAGTTCCTTGGTCGCAAATTCAGGAGGCCCCGGCGGTCTCACAGGATCGTCATTTGCTACAAACATCGATACGGACGGGGGCCCAGGGGGGTTAACAGGAGGGTCATTCCAGGTGGGAACAGATTCATCCGGACCAGGAGGACTTGCAGGTAAGTTAATTCTTAGAATATGGAAAGTCAACCAATGAAAGCCATACACACTGATGCAGTGATACCTTTAGCTTTACTGTCTTAATGAAGTAGAAAGTATTGTTTCAGGTGGAGGTTTCCCCCAGACGGACAATACAAATGGAGCTGTTTACATCAACACGGATTCAGACCTAGGAGATGTATTTATTGATCATTTGAGTCACTTTGGCATTTTTGTTCTTAAGGAGGCTGGGGGGTCAACAGATTATTTTTTTATTAACCACCAGATATAACTTATTTTTTTAGATATGATATCTTGAGCTGTCAACTATCATTTGGCAAAGAAAAATTTCATAAATTTTAGTTGTGAAATTTGATCATTTTATTATATCTTTATATGGAGCTCTTCTTCTAAAGGAGATCAAAAAAGTCTAAAAATGGCAACGACCACCCAGCCTCTTTAATTATTTTCACCTTCTTTGAAATACAAAGAAGACTATCTATAAAAAGTGTATATACTTTGATTATAATTTCCGTATCTGTGTTTCAAGATTTTGCCACAACATTTAAAGTCAATCTCGCAGACTCGCTACACTAATATCGTTAGTGTAGTGCGGGCGAATCTAACATCTAGTTTTGATTAGATTGATTTAGAGTAAGGGTTTCTATTCTCTTCCTTGTGCCAAGTTTAGAACTTGCCCAATTCCATAGCAGTAACAGAAACGACAGCGGCTGAAAGCGAAGAGAACAAAAATTCCCCGTAAACAATTTTTTTAGGATTAACAAGAGTCAATTCTTTATGAAGAAATTATTCCTGTATATATTTTTCAAACTAGAGACAATCCACACGATTTGACACGGCCAAATATGAACAAATGTTATCGCAGCTTTACAACCCAAACAATTACGAATCACAGCTTCTGGAGAAACCTTTCGACGGAAAAGATTACAGCAGCAGCAATTCTAATTCCTTTGGATCAGGGGTGAACTACGTGAGAGGTCATACGGGTCATAGTTCAGCAGGTAAGACAGAAACTATAGAATATTTCAGTAATGTAAGAAACCTGTTAGATAAGAAATATGTTTGCACCGTCCATATCTGTAACGAGAAGAAGGCTTTACCTACGACGTGATGTTATCTTCAAGTCTGTCTTTTGAATATAATATAGTCACAAATTAGCCTTTTTTTTCATATACTCGTATTACCATTCAGTAGGATATTTCAAGCCAGTTTCATTTGTCAGTGCTACATGTATAGGGATATGAATTAAAAATGTTCAAATTTATTTTTCCTTTTCCAAGTTGTCTTTCTTTGTGTCTCTTGACATGTTCAATTCTAGTTCAACTTCATTATGGTAATGGAACAGTGATCAATGCTTAATCGATGTAATAGTTCTTAGGATATTATCTAGATGTTTTTTTTTAATCTTCAACGTTTAAGAAACGTTTTTTTTTTCAAAATTAAAATTCAATGTTAAAATGCATGTAAATAGATGGAGGAGAGACAGACACCTATTTTGTATTATAACTACGACGTATTTGAAAATGATTAAAGTTAATTCACTAAGAATGAGCAAGGGTTTCTAGTGTGATGTTAATGTCACAAGACTGATTCCGTACGTCACTCTTAAAACCGTAGCAGACCACTGACAAAAAGTTAATGCAACAGGGTTTTTAACTATCTCGTTAAAAGTCAACATTTCGCAAATTCTATGGCCGTTATGTTACAATAATCCTGTTTGCAGATATAGCCAATTGTTGGGTCATATTTTGACTGCATGACATGTTCCCAACTAACTATTCTAAAGATCATTGTATACAGCCAATTTTGTATACGGATTAATTTGTTTACTTGATCAACACAAAGGGCTTATAGGACGGACGTGACTGATCGACAAGGGATGCTTAATTCTTTTGGGCACCTGACTGTTTCCAGGTGGTCTGTGTTTTTAATTTATTCACGATTCTTCACTGAATTTATGAAATTGATCACTTGCATCCTAAGTAATTTCCATCTGCTTTTTAAGGCTCCCTCTCTGGTGGAAAACAGACAGACGAGCCGGGTCCATTTGATACTCGACCATTCAAACAGGTCCAAAGTCCGTTTATTTCACACGCTGAAACTCAGTACAAAGGTTCCAACTATCATGTGGACGCCGCTTCTTCTCTTGGCGGACATAACTATGCAGCTGTTGGTTACTCGGGTAAATATTATTTACAATGGGTTAAAATTCTATTTCACTTCAGATCTCAATCAAGACCGATCGCGTTAATTAAAGTGTGGGTGAATATTGTGTTTTCAAAGAAAGTTTCAGTAAAATTTAGGAAACTTTGTAGGGGGAACCTATAATATAGATTCCAGTGCATCTAGCCGATATAACGCTGGAAACGCGGCAAGTTACGTCACTGGCAGTGGAACCGGAAGTTCTAGTGGTTACGAGACTCCTTTTGACAAACACGTGGATAATTATAATGAGCTCATATCCAATCCTTTTAACTCAAATGTAAGTACTCTCATAATTCAGAACAATAATTTCACAGGTTTAATGTGGCAGTGCCATCAAGTGAAAAAGAAAGATGATTGATAAAACCCAAAACTGAGAAGATTATGCATAATTTATAGCAGAAACTGTTTGATTCATAGATGAAATCAGATCCGGGTAGCGATTACAGTCACGGTTCCTTCGGGACTCCTTTTGAATCTCAGATGCAGAGTGGAGGAATGGGAAGTGAAAATCCAGGAGGAAACCCATTTCGCCAAGGAGGAAACAAAGCTGGGATGTCTATGACGTATAACAATAGACCCTTCAGCGGCAAGTTATTTTTGATTTTTCTTGATTCCATAGTTTTAGAAATGCAATTTAATTTGAAAATTAAAAAAACATTAAATTTCAATTCTTTATATACAAGTGGAAGAGTTTGCTTTGCATATGAACTTTTACCAAACATTCTAGTTCCATTCTATATTGTTTTCTTTGACCAATGAATATGACATGTCGGCTCTAATTCACTTTTTATACATGTACATGTATGTTTATTTTGTTTGTAGGGTGAAAATGACAACCTGCATGAACAATCAACACACTGATGTCACGTTTCTCTGGAATTGTTTTCTGCGTGTATTATACAGAATAATAGTTTCAATAAAATATATCCTTGGTTACTTCTTTCGTCATATTTATTGGCATAAGTGAAGAACCAAGGTTATTTTTAAATTGTATAATGAGTTTTTAACTTATCTCAATAAAACCTGATACCCACTGAAGAAGACTACCCTAAGATATCTTACGATTAAAAAAAATCTTTGTACATCGTTTTTCCATATATTAAAATGCATGTATCCAATCATCAAAAAGAAGAATGCCATGAATATGCCAGTATTTGTGAGTAAATAATACGCAAATATTTGGATATGTTAACAAAATATTGTGACAAACTTAACATTTTCAGGTGACGAAAAAAAAAAATTAAAAGTCATTTTACAATATTTTTGATAAATTTTAAACTTTCATAATAATCAGTCTGAAAGTGAAGTTTCCCAAAATATTCATCCCTAGTTCTATTAAAATGCAACTCCTCCAAACACCTTAATGTATGAGGTTGATTGTTTATGTAGAATTTGTTGGCAAACAGCTCAGGCCGCCTCGCCAGGAGAGGAAGATCGGTTATTCCGAGGATGCAGACATCGGTCACATATTCCCCTCCACACGGGAATTCACTACCATACCAGTTGACGAATCGGGTCAGAAACGGTTTAAAGACTGGATCTTTTTGTGGTTTTCCTAAAGAAAAAAAGACGTGTTAAAAAATTATAGATTGCGCATGCGTAAAACAAAATATAATGGCATTCAAGAGCATAAACAGAAAATATCTTCCGTAAGGTTGTAATTTTCCTCATGCAAACGCATGTTCTTCATTGGAAAAGCAATATGACTATACTTTTCAAATCTACATAGCAATCTGCATGAATTTACCACAAAATCGGAACTCTCTTGAAAAAAGGTTCTTAAGAATGGTAGGAATTCAGATTTCTTCTGGAAAATCAGAAGTTTTTATATGATGAATAGAAGAGAATTTTCAATCCATTTCAAAGGAATGATAATGGCATAGAGTTACGCCGCTTACCCTTGTAACTTCCGGGTATTCCCAGCTGAGGATTATGGTTCAGTGAGGAAAAGAATGTCTCATCCGGTACAGAAGTTTGTCTTAGCCACTTTAAAAAATCTAAGGTCACTCTACTCCTGATCACATGCTGAATGAATTCCCTGCTAGCTGTGATTAGCACTGATCCTTTCACGGGGCGAATTTGATGTGGGGGCCATCCTGCCCATGCCCAACGATTTGTCTTCTTTCTAATTATAAAATATTCCCAAAGAAATGGTATTTTTTTCACTTAAAAACATTTTGATTAATCTGTTATTTCATTTTTTTTACATGGGAATTTGATCCCCACACACTTGGTCCCATATGGTACAATAGAATTTGTTTATCTTTCATTTTTATTGCCATATCGTAGTAAAGGAGTATATTGTCATAAAGTCTAGTAGTCTATGAGTAAATTAATGATACACATACTAGTTCTAAATTTTATTTTTTTTATTATTAAGGATACTTAGCACAAACAAAAAAATTGATGCATGGAATGATTTATATTTTTTGACATATTTTGATTAGAATTGGCATAAATAATAGATCCAAAAATTAAAAGAAATCTCAAGGTTTCTTAGGTGCTAAGATGAGACTTATGTCGCTTTTTTCCATACAAAACTTTGAAAAACTTTTTAACTTTATGACAATATCTTTTTAAAAAAAATCCATTATTAGATATAAAATATGAGAGAATATGAATGATTTACTATATTATAGTACATAAAAATGTTTTGTTATTTATCATTAAAGCTTTAGACGATAAAATCTGTATGAAGGTCGTTCTTTACTACTCAAATATCTATAAATGTATCTCTTTTTAATAGGAAAAAACACCTTGACACTTTCTAAAGTACATTAGCAGGGTGCATTTAGAGTTCACTTGAAATCAGAACAGTATAGAACCTACCTGTCAATCACGCCCTCTATATCATTAAATCCGTTGTAAATCTTTAATATCTTTACCAGTTCATAGTTGGTTCGGAGAGGAAATTCCTGACCCGTTAGATTAATAAAATATTTCCATTTACCCAGCTTCAATAAATCTATCATACAAGTTATTTGTGACAGCAAAACTCCCATTTTCCCCCAACTCACGACTACTCGTTGAGACGAAAGGAAAACGTTGGGAAAACAATTTACTATACTTGCAAAGTCTTGAAAAACACTTTCGCTAGTTTTCCTGTCTACGTGAACACAGTAAACATTTTGCGGACGATATATAGCTCTCAACAAAATTTCAAATTGTTCTGGACTTTTGTAAACCATAATACCGTAAGCAATTGGGAAATTTTTCTCCTCTTCCGACAAAGAATGCATTATATATCCTCTGTTTTCTATGAATTTATTACAATTCTTCGTTTGAGAAACAATACGCTCTCCGAGTATTTGTTGTTCGTTTGGATTCCAATTCCTAGCTTTGGTAATTTCTTTTTCATTTCCTTCGAATAACAACCTACAATTTACCTCCTGAACATGCCTATTGTTTGGATGTATATGCCTTTCTTTTTCCTCAAATTCCCCCAATTCTGTTGAACGGTATAGAGGAGAATAGGAAACGAACGTTGGGTCATACCCATAATCAAACTTTTCCACCATTTCTTGCAGCTTGTTGTCGTTTTGGGATGTTCTCTCTTCGAACTCCTTTAATATTTCATTTGAAATTTGCGTTATGTTTTTCATTTCCAACACAAACAGAAAATCCTTTACGTTCCTGGAACTCCCAAAAATAGTGAGACTTCCGTTATGGTTGTAGGTTATATTCGTCGCAATGAATGTCCAGAACACTTGCTTTGGATTTGTAGAAACACCAGAAAATGTGCAGATGAGAAGGAAAACAAGAGACGAACAAAAGATAAAAACCAAGAAAAAGGCCACTTTCAGTCGAAACAACCTTTTCATCTCGGCTTTTAATTCAAGAGGACCACTTTGTGTGATATTCCATAGTGTTCATTTTCTAGTTGCCCATAACCGATTCGGACTGTGATTTTAGGCTGTAGAAATGTACCTTGTTTTTCAATAGGGAAACACCAAAAATAAAATTTAAGAGTAAATCTTCGTGGATTATAATCATTTTTTGTATAAATATCCAAATTGAATGCTTGAAAGGCAAAGTGAACCGAACTTTTTTCCACAGTATGATTTTTTCTCATAGAATCTTTATCAAGGAACAATTATTAAGGGATATTGTCCTGAAGGAATGTTTTGGATGACTGCTTCTTTCTCATTGGGTGCATGTAATCTAATAGTGTACATGTATTTCACTATTATTCCTAACAAAAATTTGTATTTCGAAGTTAAAGTTTTCCGGAGTTCACATTTTTCTATGGGCCTCAAGAGTGTCGTTCCGAGAGACTAATAGTATGTTCTTCATATCACTGACTTACAGGACACAGTCTTGTAAAATCAAATTTTACCACCTTCATTAAATAAATAATTTGCTTCACTGGACAACAATCAACCTGCCTCTGGTCATTAATTCAATATAAATGTAGATTTCTTTCACACTGTGTACTGTTATCGAATTTTAGTTCAAAAGACAACACGGTACATATACAGGCGAAAAGTACATTTTCCCCCAAATGTTTGTCGTTTGAAAATCACATAAAAGGATGCATTAAAGCACCTTTTTGATTAAGTTTTTTTGCGGACAAACAGAAAGACAGACGAAAAACTAAATGCCCCCGAATCTCCCCCGAAGATGCCGAATCTTCATAAATAATTACCGGAGTACAAAGTTCTTACTCTGCAATGAAGGAACATGGTTAATTAGAAGCATTTATGTTTAAAAGACACGTTTTGTTTTTCGTGATTATACTGAACTATTAAACATATCACTCTTCAAAATTCTTTTTCTTGAGCCTCCGTAATCGAAGATTCAGGGGTACATAGTTTTCGCCCTTTCCCTCCGTCTGTCTGTTTGTCCGCAAAAACTTTACCTTGCTCATAACCTTTGAGTGGGTGGGGCTATGGCTTTCATATTTCACAAGTATATTCCTTGTGAAAAAACCTTTCTTTGGGTACCACCAAATTTAAACTCTTGACCTTGGAATTTGACCAACTTTTATAAAAAACAAAATCGCACTTTAACCTTAGTCATAACTTCTGAACAGTGGTGACAAGGCTTTCAAACTTCACTTGTGTATTCATTGTGACAGGGCCTTTCAGTGAATATAAATATTTTGAGCCTTTGACCTTAGAGTGTGACCTACTTTTTATAAGCTTTAACCTTGACTACGATTTTGAACAGTTAGAACTATAGGGCTTGTATATTTCACAGGTGTCTTCCTTGTGAAAAGGCCTTCCTTTGCGAATTTTTTGTACGTTTTGACCATGATCATGACCTTTGGATTTTGACATAATGTATTTGAGCACCTTCAACCCTTGCCATAAGCTGCTATATGGTGGCATCAGTGTTTCTCAAACATATTTTATTTGTTATCCAGTTAAATATTCTCTATGGTTCCAAATTATTGTGTAATTGCCAGAATTTTTTTCCCAAATATCACAAATGTTTCCGTATGTGCATCTATTTACTTCCTTATTTCCTAAGATTTTAAAGCTTGGGGAAGTTTTCTGATGGTACACAAATATGATAAAACCAAATGGCAAATGAAGCATTTCCATACAAGTTTAATTTTACACTACGTGTTTGATAAATTCCAAATTCTCATAATAATCTGCTTGAAATTCAAGCTGTTGGTGATACACGTCTCTTGTTCTGTTGTAATGTAGCTCTTCCATGCACTGCAAGGCGTAAGTCTGATAGTACAGGTAGAATTTGTTGGCAAAGAATTCTGGTCTTCGTGCCAGAAGAGGAAGATCGCCGATTCCGAAGATACAGATTTGTCTGACACGACGTCCATGACACGGCCAGTTAAAGACCCCCGTGCCCCAGTTCTTAAAGCGCGTTAGAAAGGGCTTATCAAATCGATCTGTCTCTGGTTCACCTGTTAAAAAATAAAAATGTGTCACAAAATCTGAATTTGGCTATCTCTAACACTGTTGAAATCATATGTACACTGAACGAGATCTTCCAGATAAATATTAAATTGCTTTCTACATTGGACCAAATATAGTATAAATCTTGATTTATGCGTCTACATACTATTTTTCAAATGCCAAATATGACCAAATTAGAATAGATTTTTTTTTAGATAGAGAGCAAGTTTCAGAGGTCATGATTTATGGAACAAGGCTTTTTAGAGACAAAAGAGCACAGAAATTGGATCGGTGTTCCAGTCTCTCTTTAAAGTAAGACTTTCAGGAGGATGTCTCACTACAGTATTCTAGAACACCGGAAGTTCTCTATGCACATAAACACAGGTACCTTTGTAACTTCCAGGGATTTGTAGTTGAGGGTTGTGGTTCAGAGAAGCAAAGAATGTCTCGTCTGGCACTGCTACTCTCCTTGTCCAGTTTAAGAAATCTTTTGCAACAGGATTATTTACGACGTATTCCACAAACTTCCTGTTCACTGTGATGTGAACCGATCCCTTGACAGGTCGAATCTGGTTTGGAGGTGTTCCCGCAGCTAACCAGCGAACTTTGTTGGCTCTGTAAAAGAACAAACTTTATCCATATTGTTACATGTATCTCTAAAAGTTTATTAGACAATTTAGTTCCTCGGCATTAAGAAACCTTCCAACATAAAATAGGTTTACTAATATAAACTGAATCCTTATTTCGTTAAAACAAAGTCACGTGTTTATGTCTTTGTTTCAAAGAGGGTGCAATTGGCTTGCTGTTATACAGGTAGTTTACGACTACAGTGTATTTTACTCGTACAAGACTGATAAAAGATTTTTGCGAATGGCTTCAAGTTTAGACTTTTAGTTGGCACTAAGAGGCATTGGGCAGTTCAGGTTCTAATAATCATGCTCACGCCTTCCGCAACAAGGGACTTCAGTTTCATGAAAAAGACCCCCAGCTTTCACCTCAAAGTCCCTATCATCAGGCGAAAGAACAGTTCCTACATATCGATTTTGGATTTTTCGCGTCTGGGGCATGAACCCTTGACTTTCCGACTGACCGAGCGGCGGAGCAACCGTGACGAGTATCCAGTACGAGACGTCGTCAGAACTCAATCGTGGTGACAGAGAGAAATCCCATGGGTTTGACGATGAACATGAAATGTATTATAAAGAGTTGTCCATTAAATATTGAGGTATACAGGGACCTTTTTATCGGGTATAAGTTTGAATGAAAGATATTGACAGCATGGGCATTAAAATTTATAAAATAGAAAAAAAGATAATAATATTTGTCAATATGACACTCCTTAGTGCTGAACAATAAAGTACTCTTTTATTTATGTAGGTTATTTCATGTGATGTAGGATACAGATATCTCAATATTTTCTACCTAATTGTTTTTGTTTGGTTATAAAAAAAATTATTAATTATAAGAGTAAGGCAATTCAATTAAATTAAACACAGTGTTTATGTGAAGCAAATCATTTCATGTAAATTCTATCTCAAATTATACTGATGTGTAATAAAAATGAAAAGTCAATATTATAATAGTCTGTACATTCCATTATCTCTGCGTAACTTTGGAAGTCGGGTGGACATTTGCAACACTTGATCACCTTTCAGCCTCCCCCACAGAGAACAAGATTTTCTCATAAACATTTGATAATTTGTTGGATTTATCTAACATTAATTATACTTACATCTATATTAGTATCAAAGCAACTGAATATTTTTTTAATGAAGTATACCGTATTCGTATGAAGAACTATTCTTAGTGCTGTTTTCCCTTTTTTTTCTCATAAAAATTTTGCTTCATGATTAACTCAATTTTGTGTTGATACTCTTCGTGATTTTAGTTTTTAAAAAAACGTAGTTAGGAAGGCACATTCATTTCTATCTACTCTGCAAGAATAATAATATTCAGCAAACTATCAGCATATTCGCATTTTTTAAAAATATTTAACTTCCTATATAATTATGTTTTTAATTCCGACTTCAATTTGGAGTTCTTTATTTCTTTATGGCATCTGATCCCACACTGGGTGTTTCTTGGGGTATATCTGTGTTTTTGCTTTGCTCACACATTTCGTATTGTTTACAGAATTTACAATTCAAGGTTAAAATTTAAAAGTTTAGATTTTATCTAGTTAAACTTATAAAAATTATTTATATCGATCGTTACAAGTTTAACTATACCAAATTTCATGTATACTCCAATAACAAATTATCGCATGGAATTTTTACCAATGTTTTATATTATTGAAAAAAGTCAATTACCTTTTAATGGTGGACTCAAGATCATTCGCACCATTGTAGATTTTGAGTATCTTCACAATTTCATAATTTGTACGGAGAGGAAATTCCTGTCCTGTCAAATTAATAAAATACTTCCACTTTTTATATTTTAACAAGTCCTCCATACAAACTAATTCTTGGGTCAGCACACTCATATACCCCCAATTCACCAATATCCGCTTGGAAGCTAAAAATGCATTTGGAAAACATTTTATGATACTTGAAAACTCCTCAAAAATACTGTTGGGGGTTTTCTTGTCTATATGCAGACAGTAAACATTTTGGGGACGGTATATCGCCCTGAATAACATTTCAAATTGTTCTGGACTTTTATAAGCCATGATGCTGTATGCGATAGGAAAATTTTGTTCTTCGTCTGTTAATGAATCCATTATATATCCTTTGCTTTTTATAAATTTTTCACAGTCCCTTGTCTGATTAACAAAAGTCTTGCTCCTTGTTTGGAAAGAAATAGCTTTGCTTAAACGCTTGGCTTTTTCCACCTCCTTGGCGTTACCTTCAAAAAGTAAACCGCAGTTTACATTTTTAATTGGACGATTTTTAGTAAAATAATTTTGCGATATTAAATTTTTCCTTAGGGTTGAGTTTGTCTCTGATCTCTTGTATAATGGCGAATAGGAGACAAGGGATGTATTTGTTCCAACACTAGCACTAAACTGTTCCCTGTGCTTTCGCAGTCGCTCTCTTTGTGTAGCTTTTTGCTCTTCGTAATCACTTATTATCTCTTTGATGATCATAGAAATATTATTTATTTCCAACATGTCACTGGAACTTAAACGGTTTTGAAATTGTCCATATACAGTCAAAGTTCCATTTCTGTCATATTTCAAATTGCTTGCGATGAATTTGTATAGATTCTGCGTAGTTTTCTCCGATCCAGATAGGTTGCTAGAATTCCATACATGAATCGCAAGTAGTGCTGAGACAAGAATGACACAAACTACGAAATTAGTCCTCATCTGTTTCATTTTACTCTTCATGGTATCACTAAGTACTGTTTCATCGTGAAAACATCGAAGGGCTTACTGTGTTTACCTCACTAGAATCTGATTAATACTTTAGAAGGAAATCCATTCAGTGACAACCAACAGTAAATAAACTGAAAGGTGCGACTCAGATAGTTTGGACTCGTTGCTCTAGACCCATGGGTTTATCCTTAGATATTTCCACAGAGTGCAAGGTATTTTATCAGGCACCTGTATTTTCATCTTTGTTGACAACCTGATTTAATGTAAAGATAATAGTTTTAAAATCTTAAGCAGAAATAGAAAGGGGTTGCCAAAATTAAATTTTTGGAAGCCTTGCTGTTTTTGTTATTAATTTTCTTGAACCCTATTTGAGTTTTTGTCTATGTACCCTTAAGACTATATCAAACCACTGATAAAAATGTTCACCTTTATAAAAAGTATATCTGAGGTTTCTTAAAACAGCCCAAGATTTTGACATTCTTTTTTTTCAGATAGAAATTGATTGATTAATCGGTTCAATTTTATCACAGTGTAGCAACTGAAAATTTCGTAAGTTTTTAAGAGTGCGCAGTTCAGGTGTAATTTTCTTTTAAGGAAAAAAAAACAGATTAGTATAATAGCAATGAATCGATTTTTCTTCAATCATTGATATCTTTTGGCCAAAAACTTTAATAACAGATTATCCAGAAAAATACTTTGAAAAAAAGGGAAAAAAGAGATATAATTCTTCAAAAATAGAAAATGGTTAAATAATTAAGGTTTTATTTTTCGCTTTAAATGTAAAAACTCGAAAAAATAATTAATATACCTTAATCAAAAATACCTCTAGATAAAATTCTGACAACCATGGGGGTGTAAAGTAAACCTAATGTACTCGTTGCCCGACTCCCGAACTGTTGAATTGGAATCTTATCTCCAAACTTTCGTCAGCAAATCCCAGTCCTTTGCAACACCGGACTATTACATAATATATTTGTCTACACATCCTTATTCTGTCTATGTATATATACACTTTTCAGTCTTCAACTCGGTTGATGTGGAAAATTCACTTTCATTTGCTTAAATTGATTCTTACATGACTTATTGGGATCATAGGATAAAAAATTAAAATCAATATTTCAGTCTATACTTGTAATGTGAAAATTTTATAACATGTGTCACCTATCTAATACCTCCCCCCAAAAAATGAATTGGTTCCACAAGGGCCTTTATCATTAATTCAAAGGAAATTTCCTGTCTTCAAATGATATCATTAAGGACATAAGTTTTGAGCTTGATTTTTTTTTTCCTTCATATTTTAAGAGTTTCAAAAATTGAAGTACTTTTAAGTAATTATATGATGCCTGGTAATGCTGTACATCGCTTTTGAAAAAAAAAACTTTAAAAAACTTAGATTAATATATTTTGTATCTGATTTTTTGGCCAAACTGGTCCATATGTATTAACAATGAATTGGAAATGGTCAAATAAATGATATATTGAAAAAAAGTGAAATTGTAAAAAAAAATTTCAAATTCAAAAACTAAACATTTTCCTCTTTCACTCAATCATGTTAGACTTCGTTTAGGGATCGAAGTGATTATTGCAAACTTGTTTCATTACTCCACGTGTTATTCACTGAAACAAGAAAAAAATACTGCTGCATTTTCTAGAGTTAAAAAAAGAAAGACCTAGATATATATTTTATAGAAACTTCACAATGGTATCAGTCTGATCTAAGATTCTGGAGCCGTTGTCATTGAGCATGCGCAGTACAATGGGAGCCTTATTAGTGATAATTTATGAAAGAATAAATAAAGTTGAGATTGCTGCTTAAATAAAAGATAACACAAATAAACAGTCACACGGAAAGGGAATCAATGTTTTGTCAGTATTTTATTCGAAAAATGCACTCATGAGATGAGCAGGAATTTATAAAGAAGAGAAACCAGGTAAAAGAAGATAGGCACGACTTTCAAGATAAGAGGAGAAACGACAATAATTGATTCTTCTAATCCGTATTAGCAGATAACGTTTTGTTGTAATTTTTATGCATAGAGAGGACAACAGAAAAACAAATACAGTACCCATAAATAACAACATATTATATTGATAGACTGGAGATCAGGATTCACTGCGTTTACCAACGAAAAGGGTGAAGATAATGATAGGGAACATTGATCGATCTTTAACAATACAAATCTGTGAACAGGACATAACACACGGACCCAGGATACCTCAGAGGTGGGATCAGGTGCCTGGATGAATTAAGCAACCCACAAAGAACAAAAATGTGGTCGTAAAAAAAACTATGCAGTTGCTTCAAAGAAAGAAAACAATACTGTTAGAAGACATAGATATAGATATTGTTTCAATGGCGAAAGCCTTTTGCAATTAACAATGGCCCCATAGTTACATCATCAAAATAAAAAAGTTAGCCATTTGACTACGTTCATTTAAAGTTTTAAATGATCTATTTGAACAATTCAAAATTTCAAATAAATCAATTCTTGGCTTTTGTTTCCATGGTTTATATATATTAAATCTGTCTTTGATTCCAAAATTTCACAAAAAAACATAATAAAGGTACAAAGAAGGATAAGTAATTGTTCTACCAAACTTCTTTGTATGCCCCTGAAAAAAATATATTAGCATATGCCGATTCGGTACCGGTATATCCTAGTGAACCTGAAAGAAAAGACACAGTAGAGTCTGACGCATCTGTTTTATATTTGGATGTTTACCTAGAAAAAGACGTTTAAGTGGTAATCTAACAATAAAACTTTATATTAAACGTGGTGACCTCAACTTTTTACTTCCCTTACATATGTAACAATATACCCTTATCACATGCTTTGGGGTTTTGTCTCCCAGCTGATTCGATACACAAAAGCATGAAAGTATGCTCTATGTACAATTAATTTTTAAAACGAGGCAAACTATTATCGAACAAGTTGATGAAACAAGGATAACAAAAGTCTCGTTTGAACTCATCCTTTCGCAAGTTCTACGGTCGACATAATGACCTTTTCATTAGGTCAAATGATGGCTGACTTTTTTCATGCTAATTATTAGGCCATTATTTAGATGTACTTTTTGTGGATTTTCCCATTTATCTGGGAACACATGGCAGCAAAGACCAGTCAACAGGGATTAAATACTTCTCCATGGCACTTGATCCCTCCTCTGATGTTTTAGAAGTTCATGTTTAGTCTGCTCCCGATTTGTACTGTTTAAATGGACCATGAGCTTGAATAATGTTCATTATCTTCATATTTTTAGAGACAACTTTTTGGAAATTTTCATATCTATTAGCTATCCACAAAATAACAAGTTTATCAAAAATTTTATTGAAAAGTTTGTGAAGATCCAAGTTGATTGAAATCTTGACCCCCGGGCTAATTCTGAGGCCATAATAGATGATAAAATTTTAATATATGAATACATTGGAAAAATCTTCTTAAGAACACCAGAGCCCTGAATCAAATTTATATGGACGCATCTTGGGTTTTATAGATTCAATTTGTTCAAATCATGACCAACGGGGGAAGTGGGGGGGGGGGTCAAAATGAAAATTCAAACTTATAGAAAAAAAGCCACAGTAAATCAAAGACTTATTTTATCATTCTTAGTTAGTTTAAATTTAAAGGGAGGTCGAGACCACCTACAGATTCAATCTTTTCAAAACGCGATTTTTGTTCCTTCCTATCCACTGTGTCCATGGGTCTATATTGTTGAAACCTTGACTATTTGTTCAAGTGTTCTGGCGCTGATAAGCTCTCTTTTACTTTGCATTCCCCTGAGAAAAGTTATTCCTCTATGCTATTCGTCATTGATAATTAATTAACTAATGTACATGTATTTGAAAGGTTTAGTAAAATATAGAATTAGGCAAGAATTATTTTTATAATATCATACAGAAAGATTATTTCTAGAGATTAGGAAGGCATGCAGTACCGAACTATATAGATTACTATTGTTTTCATTCTAGTCTTCATGGTGATAGCTTCATTTATCAGTTTATGATCCTCTATATTGTATTATACTTAGGTGACCGTTAAGGTCTTGGGCCTCTTGTTTATCTAAGCATGATCCACTTTTATTGGCCATTGGACACATTTTGAATTTCATATATTACGAGGGGTGACCAAAAAGTTCGGGAATTATCTCTATATTTTCAAAAACACTTATTGTCATGCACATGTTCTATAAATAGCATATGAAGTGTAATCCATCATTGTGAGAAAAATGGTTGTCTTAATCTTATTCGAGCAACGAACGGCTGTAAAGTTTAACGTATAACTTGGAAATTCCTTGAAAGTATCTTATCATAATTTGTACAAGGTTTATGAAGACAATAGACTTTTCAGACGTTTAATCAGACGTTCCTATGACAGAGATCTCGAGTTGGGATAGTCACCCTTTTCTCTCTTGGAAAGGATATCCTTATCCAACCATCTTTTTTCCAAGATTTGGTCATTTCTGACAAATGGACCGTTCATGTTATAAAACAAATCTTGCATGGTAAGGAATATAAGACTCGGGAAAATATTTTAGCGTCTATGAACAGAATGCTTCAGGGAATGTCAGGTGACCACCTGGACTAATCGGCACCCCTTTAGTTATTGCTCGCATTGTTGAAACAGTAGATCGAGTTTGGCGAGAGATTTTTAATATTTGCAAGGGTAATCCAACTTATACTCAAAGTTCCCTTTCTAAGGAAAAAAATCTTCAAAATCATGTATCGGTTTCGAATATTTTTAATATCCCGAAGAACCAATATTATTTTAAACTACCATATATATACGTATATATATATTGGATTCCAAAACTTTATATTTAACAAAGATACATTGCGGGTTCCAGTAAATGTTCAACCAAGCCTCTTTCTTAACTTCTCACTAAGATATTGACAGTAGTGAAGGAAAAGCTTCAAGTGTACAGTACAACAATATATTTAAGAAGTGGTGTGAATCAGATGTGAATACTTTAAAAGTTCCAAAGAACTCTTTGAAATCTTTTACCAAAATCAGCAGCTTAAAAACTTACGACTTTTCAACTTTATAAGCAAGCATTCCCCATGATCAATACAGTCCAGGCCTTTGATATCATTGACAACTGCTTTTTCAAAAGAATGAAACTTGTAAATTTACTCATCTTTTCATAATTGGTCATTTACAAAATTATTTTGTTAAAACACATTCTGATTGTACACACAAATACTCTGAAGTTGACATAAAAAGGAGTTTCTGATTAACACTTTCTATATAATTTTTGGTGACCAGGTCTTCCAACAATCTATTGGGATTCCCTGGGTACTAATTGCGCTCCGTTATTAGTAGACCTTTTTTGTACTCATATGAAGCAGAGTTTGCGAAAAATAAGAAAATAAGAAAACACTTGCTGTGGCCTTCATCTCGACATTTAGATAAATCGACGACGTATTGTCAAATAACAATGGTTATTTCCATTCTTATGTCGATATGATATATCCTGGTGAACTTGAAATAAAAGATACCACAGAGTCTGACAAATCTATTTCCTATTTGGATATATTACTTGAAAAAAGACGTTAATTAATGGTTATCTAACAACCAAGCTCTATGATAAACGTGATGTCTTTAACTTTTCTATTGTCAACTTCACTTACGTATGCAGCAATATACCTTCATCACCTACATACGGCGTTTATATATCTCAGTTGATTCGATACACAAGAGCATGCTCTACGTATGAACAATTTTTAAAACGAGATAGGTTATTGACAAACAAGTTGGTGAAACAGGGACATCAGCATTCTCGTTTAAAGTCATCATTTCGTAAGTTGTATGATCGATACAATGACATTGTCAGCAAATATGTTTTATCGTTGAGTCAAATGCTGATTGTAGTTTTCCATACTAATTGTTAGTCCATTATTTATACCTGAATTGACGTCGGATTTTTGCGTTATTTCCCGATCATGACAAGGAGAACACAGCGGATGTGACCGGTCAGCAGGGTATGCTCACTCCTCCATGGCAGCTGATCCCACCTCCGATGTTTTGGAGGTCCATGTTTGCTCTGCTCCTATTTTGTATTGTTTTATGGACTTTAATATTGAATAATGTTGGTTACCTCCATATCTTTCATTCTATAATACTATCTCTTAACTGTACCCTTACAAAAATACCATACTAAACTTTAGTTAACTATAGTTTAATATAGTTAAGTAAAGTACCAAAGTTAAAACTTTGGAACTTTGATTTACTATAGTGAAAACTTTGGAACTTTGATTTACTATAGTGAAAACTTTGGAACTTTGATTTACTATGGCGAAAACTTTGGAACTTTGATTTACTTTGGTGAAAACTTTGGAACTTTGGTTTACTATGGTAAAAACTTTGGAACTTTGATTTATTATAGTTTACCATAGTTAACTATAGTATTTTTTTTTTGTTAGGGTAACTCCTCCTATATACCACTGAATAAAATTTAATGAAATTTTCACAAATTATTTATCACATAATGCCATTGTGAACTCTTATTCTACTTTTTTATATGACACTTATTTTGAAATATCCAAGAGCAAAACCAGGCGGTGGAGGGGTAGTATCATTTAGTGAGCTCACTGCTCACAGTACCTGTAATTTGGTTTCTTCATGGTTGATTCATGATTTTTTAAAATATTGTCTGTTTCTAATTTTTTTTTTGTTTGGTTTTCTTTTTTTTTCTTTTTTTAGGTCAGCGTAAGTAATTTAAAAAATGTAGTATCATTGCACGGCGAGGTTTCAGTACAGAGGTACACATACCGGTACATGCATGTACATGTATTATGTAAAGACTACAATCTCGGATCCTGTATTGAGTCATTTGGATTTAATAAAAAAGAAGCTTAATATGCTTTTAATATTTGTTATTTTGCGTTTTTGGAAGAAAGTTAATTCTTGCACAACAAATTATCATTAAATCTCTTTTAAATTTTCATAGACCAGAGATCCTTTAATCAAAAGTCTTTGATAAAAAGAAAATAGATATATGCTATTAGTGTATGTTTATTTTACGTAATTTTGCAAAAAGAAAAAAATTAATCTTGCCGAGCAAATGACTACTGATCTTTTTTTTATTTTTTAAATTAACTTAATGGGTCAACGACATTTCCTGTAAAGCCATAGGCATCAGAAATTCCATAGCCGCGGACAATCAGTCCAAACGGAGAATCAGTTGTTGATTCTATATTCAGTCTACCTGGGGAAACTTCGACAGTAGCGATGGAGTATTGGATACTTTTAACCAAAACCTTGCTCTCAAAACGAACCATATCTGGAGAAATAACTTGGTCGTTTAATCGAAGATCTGATATCGAATTATTTCTTATCATGACTGTAATGTAGCTGTTGAGGTACCCATCAGGAATAGGGACTAGGTATCGGCTTTTATAACGATGAACTCCAGGAATATTAACCATGTACGAATTACTTGTGTTTGGGTTTGAGTTTTGTTTGACATAGTTGATAACCTGCACTGGATATTTTCCCTCGGCAACGATGACTGTTGTCTCATTAGCTAATGTACTCATTTCATATGGTGCATAACTTCCTATAGTAACAGTGTACGTGGAGGCCCCTTTCGAAATATGTACAGGTGCTATGAAATAATATTGAGGGAATGTAATTTGTATGAATGTCCCATTATTCCAGAAGTCAGGCGGTACAATATAGGTTAAGTCCAAATCAGCATATGGATGAAGCTTTTCCATCACTTGATTGCCAGGGGAGTCAGGAGACAAGTTACGTCCACTTCCCGAAAATACCTCAATTGCCTTACTATTATTCAAAGATAAAATAATAGTTCCCGTCAGGTCCGTGTTGTGTCCAATCTGTAACGTTTCCATACTATTTAAATTTATGAACAAATGTTCTAAATGTCCAAACTCTTGACCATTAAAAGTTATAGGTGTTCCTTTGTCACGTATTTGAAATTCAATGAAGACGGTTGTATTGTCCTTCAATGCAATAACACCAAATACAGTTGAGTATGCAGAGTTAGGTACAAGTTGTGAAACAGTAGATGGTATCATATAGTAACTGTAATATGGTCCTGCTGTTGGTCTGCTAGGGAAAATAAGAGAACCGTCATCAGGTTTCGACGGGTCGTTTCCCAAGAGAAGGACAGTAATTGGATCTGTGGAGCGAATTTTCACCCCTTTTGATTCTTTCTGTAAAATATTGCCTTGCATTTCTGCAGGGAGGGTAATTTTATGTTCGGAAGTGAAAAAAAATATTTGATCAATATCATTTTTTAGTGATGCATTAAGATTTTCTGAAGTGGAAATTTCTACTGTTGAAGAGGTATTTGTTGTCAGGTAGATCGATTTCGATTCGATATTTCTTGAGGCTGGATTCCACAGGATCAACATATTGTGCTCATATGTGAAGTTTCCTGTAAAATCTATTTTTAAAAAAACCTATGAAAATGACTGAGAAATCAATAATAAATTCAAATGTAACAAATATTTAAAAGTTGAGAAAAAAGCAGAAACATTTACAAGTACTTATACGGCATTTATGTACATGGGTAGGGTTGACCACCTGTAACTATACAGAACGTGTTTCTACATGGATAGGAATGACATGTTACGTTTACAGCTTTATCTACATTGGTAAAAATGCAAATTGAATAGATTCTAGTTTGTCATTACCGGTGCAGTTCTGTCCAGACCACCCTTTGTTGCAGTTGCACGTGTACAAGTTCTCGATGTTTGTGCATGTCCCTCCGTTTTGACAGGGCATTAAAGAGCATGCATCTCTATCTAATTAAATAAAGATAAGGCATGATGAATACGAATTTATACTAAATTTATATTAAATAAATTGAACCAAAACTGTACTTAAACTAAATACTAAACTGCAGAAAAAAAGGGCAAAATATTTTTAAAAATTATAAAAGTCGATTTTAATTCCAACCCTTTTCGCAAATCTATTAGATTATGATAAAGATAATGGGAAGAAAGAAAATATTTCAGTAAAAAAAGTCAAATAATGTATGTAAACCTTTGCAGTTTTGTCCCTGCCAACCCCCCGCACACGCGCACGTGTATGATGATGCATCTTTACTGATACATGTTCCTCCGTTCAGACATGGCTCCGACTGACACAAGTTGACTTTCACATAAAGAGAGCAATCATTGAATAAAATATCTCAACGTTAATGTGAGAAAAAATGATAAATAATCATGGTTGGTGGTTCAATTAAACACTGAAGTATGTGGATGAAACACATGGAGAAAACGAAGATCAAAAGTCCATTAAACAAACAAAACAGGAGCAGAGCAATCACGGATCTCAAAAACATCAGAGGTAGGATCAGGTGCAATGGAGGAGTGAGCATCCCCTGCCGACCGGTCACACCCGCCGTGTGCTCCTTTTCATGATCGGAAAATAACGGAAAAATCCGTCGTCAATTCAGTGTATTAATAATGGACTAACAATTAGTATGAAAAACGTGAGTCAGCATTTGACTCAATGAAAAATTGTATTTGCTGACAAGGTCATTGTATCTACCACAGAACTTTCGAAATGATGATTTTAATCGAGACTGGTGATATTCTTGTTTCATCAACTCGTTTTTCAATAACCTATCTCGTTTTAAAAATTGTTCATACGTCGAACAGGCTCTTCTATATCAAATCAACTGTTAGATCTATATAAACAATAAAAACAGAGAGCAGTACAAACTGAGCCCTAGAAACACTTATGTATCACAGATGAGTACTGTGGGATTGGCAATGTTCGTGATGGACTGATGTTCCAGGATGTCGTGGGTCACCCTTATCCACGAATTTTTACCCCACAAACACTTATTTTGTCAACATATTTATCGAATCTTCTGTTTATGTGAGTAACCCAACATTTTGCATGTTAGACGGTTCTTGTGAAGAGAACGGATTAATTGGTTTTCAATGCCGATGATGGGACTACGTGAATGAAATCTGGTGATAACGAACAGTATTCAAGCTCAAAAGTTCAATAAACAATACAAAATAAGAATAGCAAACACGGACCTCTAAAACATCAGAGGTGGGATCAGGTGTCATGAAGGAGGGATCATTTCCTGCCGACCGGTCACTCCCGCCGTGTTCTCCATGTCACATCGGGAAATGACGGATATATCCGTCGTCGTTGCAGTGTGTAAATAATAGACTAACTGGGTGCTTTCTTAACTAGAATTTTTTTCTCGTAGGTTTTGAAAGAAATAATGTAAAAAGTAAATATATTACCAATTGCTTTCCCATTTTTAACTATAAAATAGACATACTGTACATACTTTGTATTTTGTTTAGACTATTTTTTGCCAGTCAAAAGTTTCAATGTGAAGAGGTACTGACTCTTTGTATCATTTTTCTTTAAAAATTCCCAACTAGCTATATAAACAATGTTGCTCTGGATCAACAAAGAAGTAAACAAATATATTTTCGTCAAAAATACGAAATATTATAGATAACTGTGTACATGGAAATTTTCCTCGTTTCTCTTCTTTTTATCGCAAGTGTGCAAATTTATAACTGCTCAAATTCAAAGAAAAACTTAAAACGGGGTAAAATATAAAAGGGTGTAAATGATTCAGGACGGAAAATGTGTTATACACCACTTAAGTTAGAAGTGACAATGTATAGGGCACGTCTTTTATTTATTCTCTTTTTAGCGTGTTTATAATTGGCTATTTCAAATTTTTTTGTGCACAAAGAAAAAAAATGTGTATCTCCATCTTAAGACTTATTACTATTATTGTTAGATACATAAAACAATTCATACCTATTTCCTTGCAATTAGGACCGGTAAATGGTTTTCTACATTGAGTGTACTTTTTCCATCGTATGCAGATGTAACCCCGCTGGCAATACAGTACTGGACGATAGCACATTTCACGTCTACTCGAGCCTAAGATCAAATATTACGATTTCTTGTAATATTACAATTTTTCGTAAATGAACGGTAATATTACGACTTTTCGTATTGGACTGGACTGTTATGCAGTGTAGCAACTGCTAATGATATAATGCCGCTTAGGCCAGCATTTTTTTATTTTTAGGTTTACGAACATCAGAATGAAAAAGTCCCGTAGGAGGAGGAAATAAAAATAAAAATAAAATTATATTTTGGATACATTATCGATTTTTCTACATTAATTTTTGCTTCTCTTTATGCTCTCCTACAGGCTCCTTGCCACTGGACACACAAGGGTTACAAAGGGTAAAATAGAACCCTTAATTGTTTATTTAATCTTCTACCAGTTGGGGCCAGTGATTTAAATGATAAATCTTGTGATGTTGGACAAAATACAGATTTAAAAAAAGAACAGATTTTTAAAACTCTTTCAATATACATATATATATATATATCTTCATATTTTTTAATATGTATTAGATGAATGTGTTGAAATTGTTCTTAATATACTTGAGACCTAAAATAATAATTCCTTTCTTGAAACAGAAAGGGAGCATTGGGGAGTAGGATGGATTTTTTTTTTTCAATTAAGTGTAAAATAATTTTTCTGGCTGCCACAAACGATACTACCTGCCTGTATATATTTGTAATTTTGTATATACTTGTTTTCAAATAGTTGAAATATCTTGTTTCTTTAGGCAAAATTATTGTTTATTTCTTAAAATGGATTAATCTCTCCCATAGTTTTATTCATTACATCTGATGCGTTGTTGATTCATAACCAATCTGAAGAATGATGCTAAGACTGAAAGCTATAACAGAAACTTAAACAATGTCTCTGACAAGAGCTATGGGCAGTTTTAAACCTAGAAAATTAATTTACAGACAGTTGAGAGATATTTTTGATTACGGATACATTTTCTCACCAACATGTCATTGTGCAACAAAGTCGTCAGCACTTTATTTGTTCCCTGAATGAGTGAGACGTTTTGAATGGCACTCCTATCGATAAATATTTCAATTAAACCAAGGTTTAGTGCTGCTATGTACTTGACAAATCTACCTTCGTTGACCCGCCATATATAAATATATGAAACCGGAAGTACGAGTTCGTAAATTTGAAATCTACAATAGACTAATATTTACACGGAAAGAAAAAAATCTGTTTTTCTCAATTTTATTTTTTTTCTGAAAATTCAAAAACTCGAGCGGCGGGTTTGTAAACCTAAAAATAAAAAAATGCTGGCCTTAATGATACAAATATCATTATCCGTTGCAATACAACCCTTAATGTCATAAACCATTGCATTAATAGTGTACATGTTCATCAGCTTAATGATATAATTCTTCCAATAAGCGGCGATTTAGCATTTGCGGTTGAAACAGTCAACCATTAATGCAATGATTTATGACATTAAGCGTGACAATTTTAACGATTAATGATATTTGTATCATTATGTGGCGTTATCTCATTAGCGATTACTACAATGCAATCTTCAGTTGAAAACTCATCAAGAGATTTATTTTAATCATTGAACATATTGTAATATATCACAAATTTATTTTTTTGTTTCGTTCCATACTAAATAACTTTGATATCCTAAGGCTAATATGTAATGAAAAATGAATCTCTCAAAACTTACTTTTTAATGTCAACTTTTAGAGCTTGTTTCTACGACTGCAAAGAACTTCGAATCATTGAGATACATGAATTGAAAATTGTTGCATGAAAAAAATAATTCTTTCGGGATTTTTAAGAATAAACAGTTTTAAAGTCACTAGTATCCTTCATGGCTGAGGAGCGCATATCCTAAAGAAGCCTTACCTAGTGCCCTGCATTTTTGTTGTGGCTTTGGAGGAGAACAGGACTTCCCTGGGGGACAAATTCGACCTCTTTTGCAGTAGGTATCAGACTGATAACAATTCCCCTTTTTCCCTGTTCAAATCAATACAATATAGAAATATAATGCATACAAGTCGTACATTTTTTTTATTTTTATTTCTACGTGTTATGTTTATACAGTAGTATAATGTTGATATAATAAAATGATTAATTCCTGCCTTTCTAAATTCTAATATTAATTCACTCAGTCTATCGTTGTTGATTCATAATAACCAATCTAATTAAAATTAGATGTTAGACCCGCTTGCATAATCGCTACACTAACATCTAAGTTAGTGTAGCGAGTATGCGAGCGAATCTAACATAAAATTTTAATCAGACTAATTCATAGCATGATGTTGATCGTATAAACTACTCAGTATTGAATGTTTTTGTTTTACTAACAGATATAGAAACGTAAACACATATTAACCGTACCTGTATTAATTTGCTTTCCGGCATGCATGATGGTAACAGTTACACAAAGCTGCAATATTTAAAGGATGGGTTAAAGGACTGATACCAACATGATCAATTTAAAGACTTTAACATCACACTACTCGTGTGTGACCTTTTTTATATATAAATATATGGAGATAACGAACAGTAGATCAAGCTCAAACATCTTAAAAGCAATACAAAATAGAAGTATATATTTACCACAAAGAATCGCAAAAACATTTTGCAGGACTTTTTATTCTGAGAACTGGGTACTGGATCTCGACTCAACATTATCGTTTTACTTTCTTTTATAATAACTTCATGTATTCTTATTGGTTGAAAATTATGTATCCAATCAGTAAAAAACCATACGCTCCATTTTCACGAGAACATTTTTATTCATAGAATATTCTAATGAAGATCGATTTATTTTTTCTAATGAATAAAATTTGTAAATAATGAACTTTGATTAAGCTCGTAAATCCAATTTAACATCACAAATTTAGAGTAGCCAAAAAATCGTATAAACAAAACAAAAAAGAGAACCCTGCTATGGAGGAGTAAGCATCTCTTTTCGACACGCCATACCCGTCATAGTATAAAATAATAAAATCCAGTATAAAATAATAACCTTATAATTTTTATTTAAACGTAAAGACCGATTATTTTTTTACAGGTGTGGGTGACGACACACTAATTCTTTTACAGGTGTGGGTGACGACACACTAATTACCGTATACATACTCCTTGATGAGAACTTGATAAGAATATGAAATAAGAAAAAAATAAATACATCTGAGTAACCGAGTACCATTTTTATTATTCGAAAGTCAGACGTTCGATCGAGTCTCCGATTAACAGGGTACTCGTTGACATCCTTAAAATTATCAATAAAAAACACACTCTCCTAGATTGATTAATTAAATGTTGTTTTACTAGTATTTCACTCGTATTGAGACAGGTACCGGTGATGGCCCTCAAATTTTGACCTTTACTCGGCACTTACGGTTTTTGAGCAATAAGGGATCTTTATTATCCCAACGTCTACTGGCCCTCGGTTTTTAAGGTCAATCGAATGACCCGCAATTTTCACTTCAAGGTGCCGAGCGTATGGCGAAGGAACAGTTGCTACCCACTGTTTTAAATATCAACTTAGGTCAGTCGCGGCCGAGGTTCGAACTTACGACCTTCTGAACTCGCGACATAAAGATCAACTCCTTACTCCGCAACTGCGCTTCACGCCGATTTTTTTTAATATGTGTAATACATGAACAAATTGAATTGTCTTTACTCAATAAAAAACCAGAACATTGAAAATCATCTTATATTTCATGTTTTGACAGGTCGGCAGGGGATGCTCATTATTCGATTCATGGCACCTGATCCCGCCTTTGATGTTTTGGCGGTCCCTGTTTGCTTCACTCCTTTTTTGAAATTTTTAATGGATTTTTGATCTCGAATACTATTCATCATATCCACATATTTCATGTAAAAATCAGATAACTTATCCACCAATCATTAATAATAAAGGAAGATAATTATGAGAACTCCAAAAATTTACAGGGGAAATGACTCAGATTGTTAGGCATAAATTCAAAAATCTAGTAGGCCATAATATTCAGACAGACAAAGACGTAGATGCAATAAGGTAACCTTGTTAAACACACACACACACACTCTCACACACACACACACACACCCTCCCTCTTACAAACGAACATACACCCTCTCTCTCTCATACACACACACACCCTCACACATACACAGAGGGAGAGAGAGAGAGAGAGAGAAAGAGATTTTGGTTTTGAAGTTTTAATTTTAGTTTCTTTCATGTATTTTGTGACTTTTTAAGTTATATAAATTTTAATTTCTATTTTCATAAACCGCGAATGAAAGTGTATTTTAAAACATCTCGTTCATAAGAAGTACAAAATTATCAGACAGATATACGAACACTTCAAGTGGTTTGTTGATCGCAAAATTATGCATGAAAATGATAATTACAACATTAATATTTATTGCAATTTAATAAACACGTGGCAGATGTTACATGTTTATATATTATATTTTTAAAAATAGAAATAATTATTAATATTTTCATAAGTAATCATTTGGAAGCAATAAACTGTTGATTCAAAACCAATATCTGATAAAAAAAAAATCTTTGTGGGAACAAGTGGCCCATGGACCACATCGCTCACCTGAGAAGCTTTGGCCATTTTGTTCTTTACCAGATTCCCCCTTGTATATAATACATATTGTGACCCCATTCTACCCCACTGATCATAATTTAAACAATTTGTAATCTACACTACCCCAGTATGCTTCCACAGAAGTTTCAGCTTTTCTGGCCTAGTGGTTCTTGAGAAGAAGATTTTCAAAAAATTTTCCTATATATTTCTATGTAAAACATTGATTCCCCATCGTGGCCCCGCCCTACCCCGGGGGTTATGATTTGAACAGTTTAGAATCTACACTACTCGAGAATGCTTCCACATAAGTTTCAGCTTTTCTGACCCAGTGGTTCTTGAGAAGAAGATTTTCAAAGATTTTTCCTATAAATTTCTATGTAAAATACACACACACACACATTGTGGCCCCGCACACACACACACACACACACTCACGATTTGAAAATTTATCTCTACACACACACACCAGGATGCTTCCACATAAGTTTCAGCTTTTCTGGCCTAGAGAGAGAGAGAGAAGATTTTCAAAGATTTTTCCTATATATTTCTATGTAAAGCATTGATTCCCTATCGTGTCCCCGCCCTATCCCCGGGGGTAATGATTTGAACAATTTAGAATCTACACTACCCCAGGATGCTTCCACATAAGTTTCAGCTTTACTGACCCAGTGGTTCTTGAGAAGAAGATTTTTAAAGATTTATCCTATATATTTCTATGTAAAACTTTGATTCCCCATTGTGGCCCCGCCCTATCCCCGGGGGTCATTATTTTAACAATTTAGAATCTACATTACCCTAGGATGCATCCACATAAGTTTCAGTTTTTCTGGCCCAGTGGTTCTTGAGAAGAAGATTTTCAAAGATTTTTTCTTTATATTTCTATGTAAAACTTTGATTCCCCATTGTGGCCCCGCCCAACCCCCGGGGGTCATGATTTGAACAATTTAGCATCTACACTACCCCAGAATGCTTCCACATAAGTTTGAGCTTTTATTGCTCAGTGGTTCTTGAGAAGAAGATTTTAAAAGATTTTTCCTATATATTTCTATGTAAAACATTGATTCCCCATTGTGGCCCCGCCCTACCCCCGGGGGTCATGATTTGAACAACTTAGTATCTACACTACCCCAGGATGCTTCCACATAAGTTTCAGCTTTACTGGCCAAGTGGTTTTTGAGAAGAAGATTTTTTAATGACCCAACCCTATTTTTTTTCTTGATTATCTCCCCTTATGAGGGGACATGGCCCTTCATTTTAACAATTTAAATTCCCCTTTACCCAAGAATGCTTTGAACCAAGTTTGGTCGAAATCGGCCCAGTGGTTCTTGAGAAGAAGTCGAAAATGTGAAAAGTTTACAGACGGACGGACAGACAGACGGACGGACAAAATGTGATCAGAAAAGCTCACTTGAGCCTTCGGCTCAGGTGAGCTAAAAAAACAAGTTTAAGGTTAATTAATATGAAACCAGTTTTAAAAACAGATCTCTGAGTGGATAAAAATAATATCACTGGGTTTTTTAAAATTTTGATGAGGATAATATTTTGAGATAATGTATAGAACATACTTATTGACTAATAGATAAGAAGTTTTTCAAATAAATTTTGTTTCCTTTCCAATGTACGCGAAAAGTCCATCTTTGTAAAATAGTTTTTGAAACTTAGACATTCTCTCTATTGGTACTTACTTATAAATATTTGAGAATGAAAATATATATTCATATGTGAATTGTCATATCATACCTTGTGGAAGAACTTAAGTGAGTTCTCTAGTGCGAAAAATCTTCTAATGTTAGAAAGCATCAATATTACAGAAAAATGCATTCAAGTAGAGCAATAATTTTTTGTTTTAATGTTTTATTTAATACCCAGAGTCCGCCCTAACACTAGAACCCCTGACCCTGGGGCCATAAAATTAACAATTTGGAAGAGGCACTCTTGCTCATCATAACTATGTACTTAGTTTATTTAATACCCAGAAGCAGAGAAGAAGATTTTCAAAAGAATTAATGCATTTTCACTAGATAATCAATAGAGCCCCACCCTAATACCACAACCCCTGACCCTGGGGCCAAAAAATTCACAATCTTGGTAAAGGCACTCTTGCTCATCATAACTATGTACATAGATGGACTTTTTAATATCCAGGAGCAGAGAAGAAGATTTTTAAAGAAGTAATGCATTTTCACTATATAATCTATATAGCCCCACCCTAGAAAAAACTCCTGACCCCAGGGCCATGAATTTCACAATTTTGGTAGAGGACTCAATGCTGATTACAATCATGCAAACAGATTGACTGCTTGATGCCCAGGAGTAAAGAAGAAGATTTTCAAAGATTGCACTAATTTGAGTGGTTTTTGCCCCACCCCTCAGGCCCCAGGGGTAGGGGGGCAGGGATCATGAAATTCACAATTTTTGTTTCCCTTTACCCAAATGCCAAATTTGGTTGAAATTGGTTCAGTGGTTGCAGAGAAGAAGCTGAAAATGTTAAAATGTTAACACACGACGAACGACGCACACCGCACGACGACAGACGAAATCGGATAGCAATAGGTCACCTTAGTTTACTCAGGTGTCTTAAAAACGAGAACATTGAAAATCATCTTATATTTCATGTTTTGACAGGTCGGCAGGGGATGCTCACTACTCGCTCCATGGCACCTGATCCCGCCTTTGATGTTTTGGCGGTCCCTGTTTGCTTCCCTCGTTTTTTGTAATTTTTAAGGGATTTTTGAGCACGAATACTATTCATTATAGAGTCCGCCCTAACACTAGAACCCCTGACCCTGGGGCCATAAAATTAACAATTTGGAAGAGGCACTCTTGCTCATCA